TGGCACAATCTCTGTCTTCCCAGTAAAGTGCAGGAGCAGAGCACTTCACTGTGCATACTAGGATTGGTGAGTTAAAAGAAACGAGGGAAATGTCTGAGGTGCACAGCACCATCTTGCACTGAAGGTTTTGTCGGTGAAGTCCTTCCAAAAGTTCATACTAGCTGATAACACTGGCATCATTTGGTGCTACACAAGTTTAGCACAGCACTATTTCTGTTTTATCAACCGTGAGGCAATGAAAACAGTAAGAACATGCCTCATGTCTTCCTACTTTCTGTCAGACCAGAGTCCTAGAAGATTCAAGTCTATCCCAGGACTACAAACCATTTGTCTCTATGTGTATTCACAAAGTTTTCAATGTGCCTCCATTGAAATCATTGGAGCAAAAGGCACAAGAAAGCATCACAGTAACCCTAAATGCCTTTAAATAAGGCTCCTAAAACGGAGAAATTCAGTATGTAACACTTGCCTGTAGGCAGAAGTTCTGGTTTTAGTATTTTCACAACATCTGCCATAATAGGGTCCTGGAGAACCTACATTAGTAGTGAAATTAACAGTACCGTACTATTAAAATATTAAAAACAACAACGCATACTGCAACTCAAAGTCACTGCCAAAATAGGCAAGTGAGCATTCAGCTGAGGCCATGCCAGGGAAGGCTGAGTGAAAGAGGAAATTGTAGCAAGCCTTTTCATAAGTGGAACTCTGAATTTACAGCGGACCAAGGCAGGACAACCTCAGTATGCACATATTCCACAGTAAGGTACATCAATTTTCCTATTATAACTAAAACAATACTCTGAACTTCAGTAGTCAAAAACTTCATAGTGTATTCTGGAAAGCTAAAAGACAGCTAGCTAAACATAAATGGGCTTTGTGTTCACTTGCTAGAATCATTCACGTGCGAGTTAAGCAAACTGTCCTGCTGACATCCCGGCACACTAGAAGGCTAGGCAGCTTGATGTCTCAAAAGTAATTCTAAGCCTACTACAAAGACATTTAAAAGACCTGTGTAATGGGCTAGATACAGTACAAAAGTTCCAATTTTATTGAAAACTTTTGTATCTCGTGAGCTTTATTAAGTACAGGTCCAACCACATCCTGACCAGACAACTGTGGTCTATATAGGTGCACTAGTTTTGGGGCTTTTCTGGTCCTCTAAGACAACTGGCACAAGCTTTAGAATTAATGAAGTACTGATTTACTGTTCACTCCGCTTTTGTGGTTTTTTTTTAATTTGTGAAAACCTGTAATTCTGAAAAAGGTAACCAAAACATTGCTTGTATCACTCAGTTGTTTACTGCAGGCCCAATCCTCAAAGCTACTGCTTGATGGGGCAGATCATCTGCTGATGTAAGGCAGCATGGTGCCAGTAATATGCCAGTGGAGTGGTGCCAACTTACATCAGCTAATAATCTGGTCATACTGTCACAACAGAAGCTGGGGGCGTTTAGCTCTTTTCCACATCAGGCTCTGTTATATATTGATTTGCATGGCACAGCATGAATGCATGCATGTTCTTACTTTGATTTGTTCTGCACTGAGATGCATAGATGTGATCTGAGCATCCTCAATGTTGTAAATCACTATGGTACATTTCAATTACGTTTTTTTGTTTTCTTTGGTTCTTAAAGTGTGCTGAGACACCATGTACAAAGCCAGCAAAATGAGTTAAGTGACCACTAGATTAATCAGCAAAGAAACTGTTCTGTGCTCCTCATGACATTCTGTAATTATTCAGCTGCATAAATGTTTTGTGGTGTTTTTATTGCTAGTAACTGAAATAAGACTAAAGTACTGCTTGCCCATGGAACATAAACAAACTGAGTACAATCCTGCACCAAAAGCACATACTAGACAGATGCAGGACATACAAATTAGCAGTTTCATGTCAATAAATGGTGATCTGATTTCACCCTTTTCCTGCCTAGCCAGCAATCAAGTACATAGAGTTCTTTCCTAATTGAGAGATTAATCATATTTTATATGTTCTGAAAAGCAAGATGTATTTGAGTATTTGTAACTGTTAACATTTGTCCATTAGACTGTTCCCATGCCATGTCTATCCTCCTTTCTATTTATACTGGCATTGATCAGCTTGTTCACTTCCAGTTTAAATGATTCAATTCTGATTTGATTGTCATGTAATTTAAATGCAAATAATTACTGCAAGGATGACATTTAGAAAAAAAGCTCTGCTAAGCAGGAAGGTTTTTAGTAGGTACAGGAGTTTGCCAGAAATATCAGAAGCATCCCTTTGACTATGAGATATGGGAACCTATCATTTCAGTTCTTTTAAAAGATGCTCTGATTTCCCTCTGACTCCCCTTAATTAAAACTCTTCTATACCATCAAGTTTGGTATCAGGGTACAGCATAGGCCACTAAGTGAAACGAAGAGGGGAGAGGAATATTTTTAATTTGGTTTTAGTTCATAAGGTTGCGGTATAGAAAACTGCAGCTAAATTACCCTCTTGTGAAATCACGTTTGTATTCCATACTGTGCCCCAGTTCTGAGCCAGAGTCTGACTGAATAACACTGAAAAGTGTTTCACGCAATTAAAAAGCAGTAGATAGAGGAAAAAAAATCTCCTACTTTGCAATAATCAAAACCAGCCGATTTTACCCTTGTTTCTCCTATTTTTTTAGGGTTAGACTGTGGCTTTATCAGCTCTGCCATGTATGAGAAGCCTAGAGATACTGGATTGCCTGAGGACAGAGACGGGACTGAATTACAGTCTCACCGTCTTCTCTAAGTGTCCCTATAACAACCTATTTTTCATATGCTAGCTGCACTAGCAGATCCAAAGAGATTTTGGGAAGAAGCACCAATGAGGAGGACAAATCCTGACTCTGCCCATTTCCTGGCATAGCAGCATCTTCAATTTGGGCTCATAATTTCACATTCAATGCCTCATCCATCACAGTCGGCAGACTTTAATGGCAGCATTTGAAATTTAGTCCTCAATAGCAAGAGCTGTATAAACACCAAGGTTAACACATGAAAGAAAAGGGATTCCTTGTCCTTTCACCTCAACTCACATCAATGATCCAGTGTTTGGTATAGTGCCTGCATTAAAACTTCATTGCTCCTCTTAAACATAAGAGCATCCCAGGGACCTTGATTTCAGCACGGAGTCTCACAAGATGCATACACTGTATTTAAATTTTGTCCAAAGGCTAGTTATGGCAGAGGTCACGTGTTTAGCAACTATCAAGAGACCATAGCCTTCTTGGAAGTCACTGTCTGTGTTCAGAAATGGTCAAAGTCACTCAAAGCACGTCTGAACAGACCATTCCACTATTTGCCGTGTTGCCTTCTCTCACAATCCTGAACTTCACCACCATAGTCAGTAAAGCCATTCCCATTCCCAACCAGTTCTTCCTTGTTCCTAAGTATCAGGTCCAACAGAACATCTTCCCTCATTAGCTTTGTGGCTCCAGTGCCTTTCCTTTGTTGGATTTGTGTTCACAGAACAGGAAGGAAGACAGCAAAGTATTTATTTGCAACATGGAGATCCCCAGTTTGTCTCCCATACTAAAATTCCGACTCCTAGATAAAAACTAGCCTGACCTCAGGGAAAGATTTTCCCCACATTTAACACAACTGTTCTGCTGGGTTTTAATTTTTTTTGCCTCCTGGCAATCACCGAGACAGCAGAATTGGCAAGGAAAGCTGTCAGGGTCTTGCAGTCCCCCCCTGTATGGCTCCAAGTGAATGCAGGAATTTAGCCCATGAAGTTCCTCTAGCTCCAGAGCCTACAGAGTAAAAATTATCAATATACTCACTGATATTTTAGACAAATGACAAGTTGATTTTGCTTTGAAAACTTTGTCAGAGATACTAATAAGAGTGTTCAACACAGTTGTAACACCTAGCTTTCGTATTGTTTTATCATCTCTAAGAATCAGAAAAAAAAAAATCTCTATTTGCTTTGTTAAAAAAGTAACATTCACTGTGAACGTTGTTTTATATCACTGAATGACTTTCAGCCCTCAAAATTTAGATATTGAGCTACGAGTACAAGAGAGTTAAATTGCTCTATATAGAGAACCAAGGTAGGTTGGGTAGTTCAGCAAGGATTCCCTCAAGGTCCTCAGACCCCAAAGATTTTTTCTAGAACAAGATACTTCTCAGCTTTTGCTGACTCACATGTAAGTTTAATCATTATAGTTTGAACAGTATAGCTCATTCAAAAACATACATAACCAGATCTCCTCGGTACCAGTGGTGTAAACTGACACATTCAATTAAGTTCAGCTGAATAGCAACTTTCACCAGAGAGGGATGTAGAGGATGGGGAGGCAGGCGGTAAGGGGACACAACAACAGCAAATCTAGCCCCTGCAACTTTTCACCAAAATCCGGGCAGATTCTTCTGGTACTTTCATGCTTTCCTGCATCTTCGTTTTACTTATATTAGCAGTTATAATCCTTCACTGACTGCAGGGACACCTCGTGGTGAGGACAGGTGAAAACAGCAGGCTGCCATTCAATTAATTAAACCAAGCACCAAAAGACTGACAGATGTTTCTGCTCCTTGGGATAATCAGAATTTCACAGACACAGACTTCCACTCCCACTCTGCTTCTGGGGCATACATTAACACATCCAGAACAGAAAACACTGACACAGCAATTTCAAGAACAAAGGACTGAGTTGTCCAGCAAACCTGAACTGTCTAACAGTCCACTATAATTACTAACTTTTGTTTTCCAGGGGCTACAAGACTGGCCAATTCAACTCGACACTCAGTTGAAGAAGCAGTCCCCAGAATGGCTGTCACGGCTTTCCCCGCTCCTCCTTTGTTTAATGTGCCAGCAAAACGCATTTCAGTGACTCACTGCAAAACTTCTTGCTGGGATTTTCATTTTTTTTTTTAAAAAGACATGCATACATGTATGATTTTTAACAGAGATTCCCCTTCTCCCCACTGCAACTACACTGTGGCACTGTCACCACAGCACCACTACATAATAAGAACTGCATCAGCTTGCTTACCCAGTGCAGCGACCCAATGCAGACCTTGGCAGCCAGAAGCGGTACGGTGGGATCTGTAGGTCGCAGTTTAGCACACTCTTTGAGCACTGACACAGCATACGCTGACTGGAGGAGGAGGAGGGAGAGAGAGGAGGAGGAAATAAAAAAGGTTGATTAGACAATGCTGTTACAGAGTTCAAGCAAGATACTTCAATTAAACATACCAAGAAATGCTGTGAAGTAAAGAATCGTATGTCAGCAACAAGTTAGCAACTTTATTCCCACCTCCACAGACACATACACAGATGTGTGCACATGTGCGCACAAACACACACTCTTCCCACGCTCAGAGGAAACATGCCAAAGAACCAGCCCTGGCTGTGCACTTTATAAGAAACAGTTTTCCTCGGCTGTTAGCGCACTGGTTATTTTAACTCTGCCCTCTCAATTCACAAGAATTCTGCTATAGTTTTTCTTGCACATAACCATTTTCCAGTAAGCCAGAAGAGATCATAAAGAGCTTATCCTCCAGCATGTTAACATTTTTAGGCCAACTCTATTCAGGTTTGTGTAGCTAAAGTAATCTGCTCTGTAGACTGTTTTGTCTCTTCTCCAGTTCCACAACATACAAGAATACAACTGGTATCCCACCATACAAAGGGTGGAGCAAGCAACTGCAGAGCAATGCACTGTTCAGCA